CACAGCCGGGCAGCTCTGCTGCCCCAGCCGCCGGAGCACGGATGGAGGGCGAGGGGGCACGTACCCCAAGGACAGGTAGTGGGTCCACCCAAGCGGGGCAGGTGAGTGTCTGTGTGACGCGGGTGGCTCTTGAGCCATGCCTTTGGGATAGGGGGAAGAGGAGGAGTAAGTAATGACAACCTTATCTAGAACTGTGCTTTGTCTTCAGAGCTCCTCTCCGAGTGCTGCTGAAAATGGCCCGGACCCTGATGAGGAGCCTCTCCTCAGAAAAAATCCCCGCCGGTTCGTCATCTTCCCCATTCAGTACCCAGACATATGGAAAATGTACAAACAGGCTCAGGCCTCCTTTTGGACAGCAGAAGAGGTGAGCCCTGGGGCTGGTGGGTTGGCACAAGGCGCTCAGACCGGGGTCCTGCCACTTCCTTCCTAGCTCTGCTGCTGGCTTTAAGGGTTGGAGGTAATTGCATTGCACTTGAGGTGCCTGCACCAGAGCAGGACTCCCTTCATGGACAGTGGAAAGAAAGCTGCTTCCACAGGGCGATTCAGTGGAGCTGCGTTAGGTGTGCAGTTTAGGATGAGGTGGAGTTGTATCCTGGGGTGCTTCTCTGGTTACAGAGGGAGCCTAAGCCAGATAGCCCTGATTTGTGGCCAGATAGCTCCTGCTCTGCTGTGGTCTCCGTGCCTGCAACTAACTGCTTGCCCATGTAGTAAGATGCTCTGGGTAATTTCATGTGAATGCTGTTCTTTAATGTTAGGCACCTGTTTTCCAGAAAGATGGTGATAATCAGGGACACTTGCTAAAAATGCTTCTAATTGACTCCTGATTGCCCTGGTTAGATGCTTGCCCCGTGTTATAATGCAAGCTGTAAGTTTGGGTTTTTTTTTTTTTTTGTGAGGTTGCTGGTTAGCCAGACCTGAGCAGCACTCGGCTCGCCTCGCTTGCAGCAGCAGAGCCTTCTGAACACTGCAGTGATCTGGAGAGATTACAGACCAGCTGCGCTGCTTGTTCCAACTTGAAGCTTCTGCAGCCTTTGCTCGTTTGTGAGCAGTGATCTGCAATTGCAGAGGAGTGAGCTGAGAGCACTGGCAGGCTCTAAATAGGCCAGAAAGCATCCTGGGACGGTGAGGAGCAGCTCTCCGTAGAAGTGCTGTTCCATTGCCTGCCTGGGAGGCTTGCTGTCCTGCTGCAGTAGAGGTTGATTTAAGCTGTTAAAGAAAAGGCATCGAAACTCCTGCCATTTTATCATATTACTGGTTCCTTCTTACACTGTTCTACCATCTGTTCGTGCATTTCCAAATGAACTGGAAAGTTAACTGTAAAACTGGTTTGTGTGTGTATGTGTTTATACTCACACATATACACATATATATGTTTTTCGGTCTTTGTATTTTTCACATCTCGCCTTACTTAACTGCTGCTGTGGTTCAGAAATCCCTCCAAACAAACAAATAAACCAAAAAGGCCGATGCGAAGGAAGTTGTGGTTCTCTACCGTGGCTAGAGTTCAGTCTGGTAGACGAGAGCAGTTGCACAGCGTTTGCCCCATGCCGTTCTTTGGCAGGATGGAGGCTGAACACCTGCCAAAGGCAAAAGTCCCCCCAGTCCATCTTTTGGCACACCTGCATGTAGGTTTCTTGGAGTATCAACATTTATTTCAAGTCGAGTTTAAGTGTCTCAGAGCGAGCGCTGCTTATTAATGCATGTTCATACTCATGACAGGAAGTTACTAAGGCTTTCCAAAATCTGATAAATCAGATTTTAATAGAGAATTTAATAGAGACTGATTTTTATCCCCAATTACAAAAGTGTAAACTGTAAAGCAAACGCGTGATGTTACTGTTGCAGAGGGAGACAGCAGTACTGCAATGTGTCTGTTGTCTTTTACAGTCACATGTGTTTAAATTCTCTACATGTAAAGATTTGAGAGCAGGCGCCAAACCTCTGTCTCAGTCATTTGACTAGGCTGCTTCTGTTCTTACAGAATGACAAACTCAAAAGGGCAATAATGTTTTTCTTTTTTCTTTTCATTAGGTTGATTTGTCAAAGGACCTTCCTCACTGGAACAAGCTGAAAGCAGATGAAAAATACTTTATCTCTCATGTTCTGGCATTTTTTGCAGCCAGTGATGGAATCGTAAATGAAAACCTGGTGAGAAAGCTTTACAGAGAGCTTGGATACTTACTCATTTTATTGGCTTATTGGCTTTTCATTTTGGTTTTCTCACATTAATGCATAAGTTTATTAAATGCATATTTTTTTCCTTCCCATCATCTCACCTTTGCCAAGGGGAATAAGCAGCTTGTTCTGCTGGGGCCAGTGTATGAGTTAAATTGGGTCAACTGTGGTCAGCAAGACTCCAGATCACATGCCTCATGGACAGTTTTTAAGCCTAGCTTTCTGCTTGGCCGTGTTGATCCACATTTCTCAATGAATTAATAGAACCCCGCACTTCTTCCCCTACTTGTGTTAGATGAGAAGTAGGGAGGGATTGTGCTGTGCCATGCTCTGTATGCTTCATTTTGGTAAAATCCATTTTGCTTTCGCTGAATGGCATCCTAGAATCTTTTAGGTCTGGGTAGGTGGGTGCTGCTAAAAAGGTGGGGAAATCTTTCTGCTGAAATCAGTTCTGGGCTGCAGAATGTCTCACCACAGTTTATAAGTGGTATCTGACTGCAGATGCCCAGTTCAGATCTTGCGTGTCTATAACGTGTAGAATGTCATAGTATATGTGCATATATTGCATGAACACGTCATGTCATACTGTTTAATTTTTTTAATGATGGAAAAAAAAGTCTGAGGCTTTGTTCAATGTGAAGGGTTTACTGTTGCAGTACTTTGCCGTTCTCCTCCTGTGTGCTTGTACCTTCATGCTTCACTGCAGCTCTCTATCCAATATGCACGGCAGATGTATTTACTTCTAGCTAGCTTGCTTTGTTTTCTCCTGCACCACACCTATCCTAATGACATATCTGTGAATAAAGTAGGGCTGAACTGCTCCCATGCTTTCTCTGTGGCAGAGATCTATTGTCTCTCCATTAAGCTTGGCATGCTGTCCTGCAGGACTGGTTTTACTGTACTCACTGCTGTGTTTTCTGGTTTTGGTAGGTGGCGCGTTTTAGTCAGGAGGTGCAGATCCCAGAAGCTCGTTGTTTCTATGGCTTTCAGATTCTCATTGAGAATGTTCACTCGGAGATGTACAGCTTGCTCATAGACACCTACATCAAAGATCCTGAGAAAAGGTAAACTCTGGATATGTTACAGACCCATGGGAAATCTGTCGCCTAGTCCAGTGGCACCGTCATTGGGCAGGAGCTATCTTCTGTTCATTCTGACTTACTGGGGGAGTTGGGGATGGTTCCTTAAAGCTTTTAAGGCCTGCACGCCTGACTCCCAAAATGGAGAGAAGTGTTACTGAGCAACAGACTTGTGCAGGAGTGTCAGAAGTTTAGTTAATATTTGTATAAATCTTTGATTGCAGGAAGTGCAGACTATGTGAAATGTTGTTAAAGGTTAGACAAGCTCCTTGTGGTAACTGTGCTCCAGAGGTGCTGCCTTGGGAAATAGAATGCTCGCAATCCAACTGGTCTTTCTAAAGTACACTAATCAACACATTGTATCCTTTCAGCTTTTTTGTTGTCGGTGCTTTTTCATACAACTTGAACTGCTTATTTTTGAAGTGTTGGGTTCTTTAGAGAGCCCCATCACCTTTGTTGTCTGGAGAACTTCCTAGTCCAAATACATTTGAAAAGAAGCACTTTCCCTCAGAGACTCCACCGTGGTGATGGTCAGGCAGAGCTTGGTTTCCCACAGTGCCATCCTGTGCAGTGACAGTGGGAGGACTGCAAGATTTCTTTTCAGGTGTTTAGCATGGGAAGGGAGCCTGTGCTCGTGGGGATTGTCCAGTTCCTTTTGTGGAGTTGGGCAAGGTGAGGCTTAGCTTGGTGGGTAGGAAGCAGCTGCCATCTGGCTTGAAGTCTTGAGAGGCAATGTGGTCTGGTGGGTGGGCACTCCTGGGATGCGATATTTGTGTTTGCTTCCCATCTCTGCAGCTCGCCTCCTCTGAGACCGAGGGTTTGTTGCTTTCTGCACATCTGCCTCCCTGTACCCTCGTTATCAGAGATCATCACCCCTTTGGGGTGGGAACGGTCTCTTGCTTGGGTTAGTTGAGAACACAGCGTAATGGGTTCCTCTGTCTGGTGGAGCCAGCAGGGACAACCAGGGCAGATATACATAAATTGCTTCTTATTATTTTGATGCTTTCTCTTTATTTTCGTCAACAGGGATTTCTTATTTAATGCTATTGAAACAATGCCTTGTGTCAAGAAGAAAGCAGACTGGGCTCTGAAGTGGATTGAAGACAGAGAATCCACTTTTGGTGTGTAGCTTCTTAAAAACTTGTTTCTGTTGCACATGTCACAAACTAATCCTCTGGGAGTGAGCTGTGTCCCTGGAATGTGAAATGACACTCTCCACAGATGATGTAGTGGCTTGCAGGTCTCTGGTTTAACTAAAGAACTAAAAGTAACTTCTGGTGAGCACGTATGTTTTTACCTTCAGCTAAAGCAATATAGTAATGGCAGTGCCAACTAGAATCATGTTATGAAAAATACTTGTGGGTTTCTCTGTCTTTTTTTGTCTTTTTACTGAACAACCCTAGTGTCTTCAAGCAAAAACTGAAGAACTGATTTTCTAGGGGTTCTGATTATTTCTTCCAATTGGCTCCTATTTCATACTCCATTGCTCAGAACTGGGCAGCTGAAGTGTTTCAAGTCCAGGCTTTGTGTCCATATAGCCATACTCATGTGTGATGTTAGCCAGTTTTTGTAAAAGCATGACTGAACCTGGGCAAAAAAGATTCAAGAATAGTCTCTGGTGTTTCTGGTTTTGTTGGGACCAGGTTTCTAGTTTTTGTGTCTCATTTCAGAGCTGGGGCACCAGCTCAGCTTCTGTCAGCGTGGTGTAGGGCATCCTTTCCAGTGTTCCACATTCAGCGTACAATGTTGACCCTGAAGGATGTGTTGTAGCTGAAATGAATAATGGGCAGACTCTGGTGAATTTTCTAAACCAAACATCCTCTGTATACTTAGAGAAACTGTAGGAGATGGAGAGATTGAGCCAGATGAACAAAATAAATCTGAATTTTGTTCTTTTGCAGCATCTGTTGTTCACAGCTCTTGTTTGAGTGGGGTTCTTCTTGTAGCTGTAGATTTTCCTGTCCTGGAGCGTCCCGCTGGTTCCCCAATCTGGCTTTGCTTGCTGTATATGGACTCCTTTCTTCATCTCCTTCAGCTGGCTCCCAGCAGTGTGGGAGTGTGCCAGGAATCAGAAGGTTCCCTGACTCAAAAACCAATGTTCTCCCCACCCCCTGCCCCCAAACTTGATGCATCCTATCCACATTTTTATAAAGTACATTTCTACTCTTCTGTTTCTTCTTCTTATTGAGAAAACTTCTCAAGTTTAAAACATTTGGGGGCCCATGTCTTACAGTTACGGATTGTGAGATATGGTATATGGAAGTGGCTGGCTGGCTTGTTTGCTTGGTGTTTCCTTCCACCTTGGGGACCTGCCCTGCAACCAGGTCTCTGCAGCAATGGTTGATTTCTTGTACTGAGGGTTCAGTTGCTGTATCTGTTCTGTGGACTCTCAGCCTCCCAGCGCTCCTGTTGTGTGGTGCTGCTGATGGGAGATTTTTGTTTTGACATAACTCATTTGTGTGATAGCTAGTCAGGTGGAATGTAGTGAAAACTGTATTGATACTCAGTCTTGTGCTTCATTAAACCTATATTGTATGAGCAGCCTTCTTCCACTCCTATCTAGAAGTAACCTAGGAGATTTTTAGTGCTGCCAGACAAATCCTTTCCTTAGTAACTTCTGTGATACTTGTAAGTTTGTGTTGCTCTTCATGCTTTTTTCCTAACTTGAATTTCTTCAGATGTGCCAGCAGATGGCATTTGCATCTTGTAAAGGAAGTGGGACATCTGGCTATTTGGGGGTTATTTTATTTTTTAAACAAAATTCTGTGCAGTCCTCTCTGGGAAAAGGCACCAGCACTTAATGCAAAAGCTCTTCATGTTAGAATATATCCAAGGATCTTGTGAAATTGTTTAAAATAGAGTACATGGAGTGACGTGTCTTCACCAAGCAGTCAGATGGTCTTGTAGTCTGAAGAAATATGTTCCTGTACACAACAGGGAGAACTGGGACCAATAATGCTGTGTTTTCCTTGGATGAAAGATGGGATAATAGGTGGGATAACATAAATAGTTATTTGTCTTGATGAGTTATGTTCTGTGATCTTCCACTCCTGTAAGAATGTGCTTTTATGTAGATTCTCAGCAAGCACAAATTGAGGTGTACGTTTTTTTGTTTAATTTAGAGGAGATAAAGGCTCCTCTCTCAGTTTTGTCTATTAGTTACACAGCTATTTTCCTGCCTTTTAGGAAAAAGAGATAAAAGAGTACTAATGGCTTGGCCACTTTGGACAATTATGTTCTTTCCCCTTCTGACCTGTGGCAGTTTCAGTGGGTGCCCTGGTTCTGTTGTTCTGCTGGGGTTGCCTGTGGTTAAGTGCTGTTGCATGTGTAGACCCTGTATGCCTCGGGGTCTGCTGAAAGATGTGGTCAGATTCGGCAGGTGGTGCTGCAATGGGGATTCCTCCTCTCCAGCATTGGTCTCTTTGATGCAAGTGGTGCATCTTGCTGACGAGCGATACGCTATTTTGTGTCTAACTGAAAATGTGTTACGTTAAACAGGTGAGAGAGTGGTTGCCTTTGCTGCAGTTGAAGGCATCTTCTTTTCGGGTTCCTTTGCTGCTATATTTTGGCTGAAGAAGAGGGGCCTGATGCCTGGACTGACTTTCTCCAATGAACTTATTAGCAGAGATGAGGTAATGTGTCACATCCTACACACTGTCTGGGAAGGAAAGTGAGTTTCCAGGGGAAGGGCAGAATTACATTCATAAAGATCACATAGTCTTTCCAGAGTGGCCCACCTCTGCTGGCAGGGAGGTTTGGAGGGAGGGTGAAGAGAGCAGAAAAGGGACTAAGCAGGTGAGTGGGTGCAGAAGCAGTGTTTGGGTGAAGTGAAGAAGACGATCCAGCAGCGAGTAGGGGATGCATTTGTGGGTGCGACGGAGCCTTTTTAATGTTGGTGGGGCTGGAGGCCAAGGAAGTGGTAGAAGTAGGTTCTCTGCCAGCCAATATCAGCAGCAAGCTTTTCCAGGGAAGGTCTACTGCCCTGGTAGGACAGAGGTCCTGGTTACCTGCCAGGTAACTGCAGGCCATGCTCCCAAGAGCTTCTCCCACAGTAAGCTTTCTGTGTCTGCTTTAACATCACCTCCTAGGCAGCACAGAGAACAGACTTCTTTTCCCCAGAGCAGTGCCTGACCCTGTTTCTGCAGCCTGACAGAGGAGCTGTAGCTGCTGACTTGTAGGAAGATTGGAGTCCTGCAAAGGAGCAGGCTATTCCCAGAATATTTGTAAGAAGGGGAAAGAAGCCAACTTCTAGCTATAAGTTACTAATGAACGTAAAGCCTAGGTGCTGCTATGTCCCTCAGTAGAAACACCTGCTTCTAAAGGGAGTAAAGATAAATATTAGTAATATCCCAGTGCATAGTATGATCAAAAAGGTGAACTTCTTGTTTTGAAGGAAATGTTTGTTTTCCTGTGCTATGAAGGGAGGCAAAGGATTGGCTGCCCAAGGACTGGTGTGGAATTGCACAGTCCCCAATTGCAGCAGGGGCTGGCTTGGGCAAGGACCTAGCTAGGATGTGACTCTGAGCCTTGCTCTGCCTTAGCTGCTTCAGTCAGGTTCAAGTGGCCTTCTTGTTCCACTCCCCATCTGGCCTTAGGTGTGGGTCCCAGAGCTTGCAGACGGCCTTCTGCACCCACCGCTTGGCCAGCTGTGGCAGGTTGCTGCCGAAGCAGCAGCAGATATCGTTCCTCTCCCTGTTCTTGTGCTACTGCAGAGCGATAGGATCTCCTAGGAGGGGGCAGTTACGGGTCTGCGTTAGAGGGGAGCGCTTCTTAGCTTAAGATGTGCTATGTCTGAGGGGCTGCATGTCAGCACACCAAATGTGGCAGGCCACGTGCTCACAAGTGCCCTCTCTTTCCTCTGCATTCTGCACTGCTGCCTGCCAGTTGGCAGCAGTTCCTTATGGCTGGGGCCTGCCTACAGGGCACCACACAACTTACGGCACTGTCAGCACTGAAAAAGCAGGAAGACCAGTTTTGTATGCAGTATAAACATGCTAGTAGTGGTTTGAACTTACCAGAGTTGGTCTAAAAGAATAAAGAGCTTTATCATAATGAAAGTAATCTCCGTGAGTTAGATAAACTGATTTGAAAGGAGGCATCTTACAAGATGCCTTTAATTTAAAAGACACTTTTGAAGAAAGCAATAGGATCAGTAAGCAGAATCAAACAGTTCTTCAGCCTTCACCTTTCTTGTGTCTTCTGTTTCTGTGAGTCACCATGAACTGATCCATTCAAGTGAAGAAGTATTTGTTTGTTAGAAGGATCACTTGCGGGTGAATGAGATGCAAGTTCCTCTATACAGCAGTCTAACTATACTTCTCTGCAGAGTTGAGCACCAAAAGACCGAATTTTTCTTGAGCTCCACTGACATAATTCCAACTGCAGAGCTGTTATGAGGGGTGAGGCTCGGTGCACACAGCACCTGTGTTGAAAATCAGGAAATGCTGTTACAAAAGCAGTGATAGTAAAAAGAATCTACAATGGAAAACTATACGAACTGTTTTCTGAGGCACCTGAACAGATAAATGGTTAATGCTCGATATGTTTTTTTGAGCTGCAGGCCCTGTTCCCAAGCTGTTCTTTGAGCAGGTACATCTGTGATTCTGAAAGGTGCAAAGCTGCTGGGAGCACCAGTCAGCAGAGCACACTGGTTCAGGTGAGAAGCCAGGCACAGCTTACATCCTGCTGATGATGTTGGCCTGGACAAGACCATGGGAAGCCCTGCAGCAGGGCTAAAGCTGTCCCTAGAGGGGGAGAATTTCCCACATTACATTGTTTCAGGGCTGTTTCATGACCTGAAGCATGAGGATTTCGTAGCCTTTCTGAAAAAGTTTTCACTTCTTGGTTTTGTTTTGACCTTTGTTAACAGTAGCACTGTCTCATTGCCCATAGTCTGCCAAATCCTTCTGACTGGTTCCGCTCTGGATGTGCCCTCATGGTTCTCGTATGCTGTAAACACCATCCTGCTCTCGAGGGGAGAGATGGTAGCACAGTGCTCCTTCAGCAGCGGTGGGTATGGTTGAAGCCAGAGGCTGGAAGCTGCTGCCAGGCAAGCTGGAATAGAAACTGAGGCACCTCTTGGAGCAGCTGTCCGATAGCCCCTTCGGACCGTGGGGGATTGCTCTCCTCCTGATGTGGTTGTGTCCTGGCTGGAGGCTTTTCTGGAAGTCTTGGGAATGAATGCAATCTACTGGGCTCTGTGCAGGATTGCTGGGTGAAATGTGAAGGCATTGGTGGGTTGAGTTGGGGCCTGAAATATGACAAACCTATTAATGTTCTGGTAGCAAATTTCCCAGAAACTGCACGTTGTGTGGAGAGATGACTTGTTAATCTTGGGCTTGGTGACTCTAGTCTGAATCTTCCTTTCTGAAAATGCTGTGAGAAGAAGCAAGAGAAGAAATGCTACTAAAAGAACATAAACTGAGTATTTCTGTACAGGTATCTCAAGGTGGAGATCAGGTCTATGTTAACTGGCAGGTAGTTTTGCAGGTCTTGATGTAGGAGTCTTTCTGCAAAAGCATCTCTGACAGGAGGCAGGGACCCAGCAGGGCTCTGTGTAGGATCCCTCACAGTAGAGCAGCTCTCAAAAATATTTACCTGAGAAACATGTATTTGAGCATTATTTCAGCATAGGTGGCATGTGTTGGGTTTCAGATGTTACTAACTGGGTTGTAATCTAAAAGTGCCCACTATATGTGGTAACACGAAGACTGTCAAAGAACAACGAGCTTAGGAAGTTTCAACCTGAATGAGGCTGCCTCAAAGTAAGAGCAAACTATGTAGAGGAGGGGAAAACTGACTTGTTTTTCACTGTTCTCTCTTATTTCAGGGTCTACACTGTGATTTTGCTTGTCTAATGTTCCATTACTTAGTGAACAGACCGTCAGAAGAGAGGGTCCGTGAGATCATCATTAATGCTGTTGAAATTGAGCAGGTAAGCCTGGCGTGGCAACATCGTGGGCAGCACAGGACCAGTCTTATGTGCAAAAGTAAACAAATTAACTTCTAACTTTTGGGATGCCATTTTTGATACTTGGCTCGGACCTGGATCCCTGATGCATTACACCATCCTTGCCCTCTTCCTTAATGGTGACAGTTAAGAGTCAGAGACTCTGATTTAGTTGTCAAGCAACTGGGAGAAGCTGAAGCTGGCAGCTTTTCTCCTTAATGACAGAAAGGAAGGAAGGCTGTCTTATTTAGTATAGAATAGAATATTTCCAGTTGGAAGGGACCTAAAACAATCATCTGGTCCAACTGCAACTGTCTCTTAGAGAAGAGTTTGTTTACCTCTGTCCTTTCAGGGTCTTTGTCTCTTCCTACTACATACGCATCCCTGCTTGTCCTCAGGAGAAGACAGGGTCTGTTCTGGCCATGAGTACCATGTTGGGTTCTGACTTTTTCTGAGGTTGCTGTCAGGTTCTTTCACATGGCTACCCATCTGCAACTACAAGTTTCTGCACTGCTGAGTGTTTGGCAGGATTGTAGTTAACTCAGTTCTTTTCATCTAACTACTGTGGTGGGTTGACCCTGGCTGGATGCCAGGTGCCCACCAAGCCGCTCTGTCACTCCCTTCCTCAGCTTCACCCTGCTCCCCTGTGGGCCTCACTGGGCTGCAGGGGCACAGGCTGCCCCACCACGGGCTGCCCTAGGGGCTGCAGGGGAATCTGGAGCCTGGAGCCCCTCCTGCCCCTCCTGCGGCACCGGCCTGGGGGGCTGCAGGGCCTCACATCCTCTCACTCCTCTCCAGCTGCTGTTCTGCAGCAGGGTTTTTTCCCCCTTCTTAAACACGCTATCCCAGAGGTGCTACCACATCACCGATGGGTTCGGCCTGGGCCAGCGGCGGGTCCATCTTGGAGCTGGCTGGCATTGGCTCCATCAGACACAGGGGAAGCTTCCAGCAGCTGCTCACAGAAGCCACCCCTGTAGCCCCTCGCTACCAAAACCTTGCCACACAAACCCAATACACTGACGAATGCGCCAGCTTTGCCTTTCAACACTGACAGGTATTGCCTCAGTGCCCAAACATGGCTGGGTTCAGCACTCCTATATCGCTATCCTCTTTAATTTGTCGTTCTGAAATGGCTGGAAGCCAAGGAAAACTGGAGATTTCTGGATCTATTCCTCCTCCCACTAGTATGGCCTGTAGGTTTTATTGAACTTGGAGCTCAAGCTTTCACTGAAGCTTGGGATCTTGAGGGGGGGAAAAAAGGAAGAGGGGAGGAGCAGTAATAACAATTCTTGTGCCTTTTCCAAAAAAAATGCTAAAAATAAAGGAAGATACAAACAACTACTGGAAACAGGAGACACTTGTTGAATTTAGTGATGCAAGCTATTCATTCAGAGACTGCCTGGGGAGCCTGGAATATCACAAATTGTGTTACTGTGAAACACAGGTGTCTTCTCTCCTTTTACCTTCTTAAACTTAATTTCTCTAAATGTCGTCTCTATTTTAACTTCTAGGAGTTTCTAACAGAGGCGTTACCTGTAGGTCTGATTGGAATGAATTGCACTTTGATGAAACAATATATTGAGTTTGTCGCAGACCGGTTACTAATGGAGCTTGGGTTCTCAAAGGTAAGAGATGCAATTGCCCGACATGCTGGCCTGCCAGGACAGCCCAAGGAAGCTGTCTGCTCAAAGCACTCCCTTAGTGTGCCTGGGAGCAGGTCCTATTTAGCACTTGCACTTTCTGTGAGTGACAGCTGAAACCACAGCATTAATACACATGCTTCACTGTTTAAAAGAGCAGGAACAATTTAGGCCATTGTTTCCCTTCAGCTGCTCTGCAGGTTTGTAATGGGAAACTTATGCTGTGCTCAAGTGCTGCAGTCCTCAAAGGATAATAAGCACCTTGCAAGGGTGAACTTGTCTGTGGACCGAACTCCTGTGGAGAGACAGTACTGGGTTTGTTTAGATAGGTGTCCCTAGATTCCACAGCATATTACAGCAAGGGATGATCTAATTTGGAAGGGTTTGACTGGTTTGTTTGTTGGGGTTTTTTAAGCATTGTTACCCTATCAGAATCACCAGTGTAATAGTGTTTCCCTTCCTCAGGTCTTTCATGCAGAAAATCCTTTCGATTTCATGGAGAATATTTCTCTGGAAGGAAAAACAAATTTCTTTGAGAAGCGGGTTTCGGAATATCAACGTTTTGCTGTTATGGCAGAATCAATGGACAATGTCTTCACTCTGGATGCAGATTTTTGATAACTTGGCAAATGAACGGTGACTGTTTCCCTCTTCCCATCTCACATTCTGCTGTGAAGTTGTCTCCATTTCTTCTCCTGGAACTGGAGTCTACTTGGGATTTTTTTCCCGGGTTTTCATGTTGTTTGTCTGAAGAGTAAATATCTTCCGCTCTGTGTCAGTTAAAAAAAAAAAAGGGGGGGGGATCCTTTTTAAAAAATTTATATGGCTTTTTAAAAGGATGGCCTTTTTAAGGTTCCTTTGACTCATCTGCTATGATGCTGTCTTTAAAAATTACCTGGATACAGCTACTTTTCTAAGACTTTGGTAGTGTTTTAAGAAAGCAAATTGTGTATTTACCTCATCTTACAGTATTTTAATCTGAAAACCAGATGAGGTATCACTCTATGTATATATGTTGCTATAAATTATTTTCATGGTTTCTATTTTCATGTTTGTAGATTTGATCTAGAGTAAAAGCTCTTCCCTTTCATCCTGCTGCAGAGTAATAAATGAATGTGGGGAGACATTAATACGGTATGAACTATAAAATCTTATTAAACCCAGGGATACAGTTGATCTCCCCATTAACCTGGGTTCTGTCTGAAAACGGTTTTTACTCTGGTTGCAAACCTGATGGCTGTTGGTAGGAGTTCAGATCAAATACATATGATTTTTGTCTTACAGCTGTTATTAAGCAGGTCAGTGAACCTTGAATGGTCCTTGAAAAGGCAATCCTGTGAATAGTGGGGAAAAAAAACATCCTGTAGTTTTTGGCTTGTGCTGCCTGTTTTTACCTGCTTCTCTGAACATGTGCCTTATTCAGCAGTCTGTAGTTGCACTGAGTTGCAGTTGGCATCTGACACTGGAACAGCCAGCTCTGGGTGTTGTCTGTCTTCTCTCTGATGTGCTGGGTGATTTGACATTATCCCCTTCTTGGTTTCCCTTGTGCACTGATGGGGTGAGAAGGCATATCATTCCAAATGGTTATATCCCTTGAAGTGCTACAAACATACTACCTGTGCTGTAAGGAAGCACCAGTACTGTATGGAGGTACTTCAAGTTGTATGTTTAATGTGAACCATTGAAACCATTGTCACAGAGGAGCTTCTGGAGGAAAGTATTAAACCCTTCAAAAACAAATCTTGAAGTAGTATGGATTAGCAGCATCTTAAAAGGACTGCTGTTTGGGTTTTGGTGTGTTCCAGTGTATGCCTGAAAACTTTAATTCCTTGATGTCCCATGCAGAGAATGGAGCAACTGAAGAATGGCTAATGTGCTGCAGAGGTACTTGGGATGGAAGGGATGCTATTCACGTGTAGGTGGATTATTTGCAAAGAGATACGCTCATTTTTTTCAAAGGTGAAGTGAGTGTACATGAGCCAGACAAAGGTTTCTGCTTTATTAAACCCAAGCATTTTTTTTCATAACCCTCAGTAATTTGTATAAGAGCTTTTATAAGTCTGTCTTACTGTTGCACACATTTTGTGCTGCTTTGATACTCTTGGTACGAGGTGAGCTGACAGTCCAGGGTTATTGGTGATGGGGTGGTACAAGTGTTATTTCGCTACCAGCCCAGATCAGCCATAGCCCTGGGTATCAGTTCCATGAAGCAGGCCCACGGCCTTAGCGTAGTTCCTAGTGAGCAGCAGTCCCTGGTGTAAACGTAAGCATCAAAAATGACACTTTCTGTTTGGTCTCCGCAAAAGATCCTGAAGTATATAATAAGCATGGAATCAGGGTAGCTTTTTTTTTCCTAGAGAAGAGCCTGCATCATTTTCCATAAGGTACTTGGGGAGGGCAGAGGGGGACCCAGAGAATACAGAGAAAAGCTGGAACTGGTGTCACTCAGTAAAGTCCTGCAACTGCAAGAGAACTGTGGACTGAGAGAGAAAATCCAGCGCATATTGGAAATACTTTGTTGAGGGGGGAGAAAGGGAAAATGTTGTACGTGGGTCTGTTGTTGGAGGAATGGAACCTATTTTTATGTCACTAAAAGTAATAAAAAGCATTTGTTTTGAGTGTTGTCAATTCTGATGAGAGGATGCAGAATATTCAGATACGAAACTGCTATGTGCTTAGGTTCTGTAAATGTATATGAGATACCAAAGCTTGGTTACAGCAGCTCCCGCCCCATTTGTGTGTAAAATATATGTGTAGTTTCAATAAAACTTGAACGTGGAGAGGAGCATGCCTTGTTTGCTAGCTGCATGCTTGCTTGTGAAATCCAAAGTGATAAAATTGGGCTGTGCCGGAGTAAGTCAGTGTTCACAGCTTTTAGGTTGTGGGAGAAAGTTATGGGCGCTCCATACGCTGTCTTGCACTTTGTGAGCTCTCGACTTGCTGTTTCTTGTTCCCGGGAATGGGGTTTGCAGTCTAGGGAGCAGGCAAAAAAAATTTTTTTTTTTTTTCTGGAATTTTCTGGGTCAAGGAGAAGTCTCTTGGGAGTCCCTTAGCTTCCAAGAAACGCTCCAGAAATGTAATTTCAGTGGGTGGTATCTGATACCTGATACACCAAGAGCATTGCGCCCTTGGATCGGGCGCCCTGACTGTGCCGGGGAGAACAAGCTGGGTCTGGCTCTGCGCATCTCACACTGCGGCCATCATGCTTACAAAGCCTGACAGTGGGGGATGCTGATGCATCCCTTTCATATACACTCTGTGTCCTCCTGGTTGGAATCCTAAGGCTGGTGCATGACTCCTGTTACAGCCAGCAGGATGGAGAAGGTGCTTCTGGGGGGCTTAATCTCATGGTGAAGGCCAAGTGCCAGGTCCTGCACTTGGGTCACAACAACCCCATGCAGTGCTACAGGCTTGGGGATGAGTGGCTGGAAAGCTGCCTGGCGGAAAAGGACCTGGGGGTACTGGTTGACAGCCGACTGAATATGAGCCAGCAGTGTGCCCAGGTGGCCAAGAAGGCCAACAGCATCCTGGCTTGTATCAGGAATAGTGTGGCCAGCAGGAGCGGGGCAGTGATCGTGCCCCTGTACTCGGCACTGGTGAGGCTGCACCTCGAATACTGTGTTCAGTTCTGGGCCCCTCACTACAGGAATTGTGTTGCTGGAACATGTCCAGAGAAGGACAATGAAGCTGCAAGATCTGGAGCCCAAGTCTTACGAGGAGTGGCTGAGGGAACTGGGGTTGTTCAGCCTGGAGAAGAGGAGGCTGAGGGGAGACCTTATCGCCCTCTACACCTGCCTGACAGGAGGCTGTAGTGAGGTGGGGTTCGGCCTCTTCTCCCTGGGCAATAGGACGAGGGGAAGTGGCCTCAAGTTGCACCAGGGGCGGTTTAGGTTGGACATGAGGAAAAATTTTTTCACTGAAAGGGTTGTCAGGCACTGGAACAGGCTGCCCAGCGAAGTGGTGGAGTCCCCATCCCTGGAGGTATTTAAAAGATGGGTAGATGAGGTGCTTAGGGACATGGTTTAATGGTGGGTTGGGTTAACGGTTGGACTTGATGATCTTAAAGGTCTTTTCCAACCTGAACAATTCTATGATTCTGTGTCTGCAACGGTTAGGTGAGCAGAAACCTGTCTGGAGGCTGCAAGGGGAGCTGAGGCTCATGGGTAGAATCCCACTTTTTAAAGTGGGCCAAACAGCCTCTGTAGCTCCCGCTGTTCTCATTCAAGTAGACACGTGGGTCCTGGCAAAACCCATGACTTGATTAGCAGTAGCCACAGGCGGACCACAGGCTCCTAGCCCTGCTGTCTGGTCAGGAAACCGCTGCAGAGTGCAGTAGGTCAGTGACTATTCCCAGCCCTTGCTGGGAAAGAAAAGAAAGTGGGTGAAGACAGGGCAATTAGTAAGCTTTTTCTTAGTGTTTCTTGACAGCATGGAGGCCACGTTGCTGGACTGGTAAGATTTTGGCAGCAGATGAAGAGGCCATGTGCATGGCAGCACACCTGGAGCTGTGGCCAGCCCCTGGCTGGCTGACACTGTGCTAATCCAGTTCTGCCATCTTCTTCATCCTTGCCTTTGAATGTTGTTATGCAGCAACTCTGGCCTCCCTGCCGGCCAGAGGAGCATCTCCCTTCCAGCCCTCCCAGGGGATGATCCGGACTGGTTTTCCTCCTGGTGGAGCCCTTGAGTCAGCAAATATTAATGTTGCTGTATTCTCTAGAGCTCCTTCTGGGAGAGAAACAGTCATCAGAGAAGCTGATGTGTTAATATTACATGCAGCCGAGTATGTGTTCACCAGGAGGATGCTTGTGCGACTGGGGACCGCTCTCTGCTCCGTGCTCTGCAGAAATACACACGTGCACGTATGAACTTTATATACGTGCAAGCTGATGTACGTCTGGTACACACATGCACTGCACATATGCAAAAGCAGAGTTGAGGAGAGAAGCCTTTGAATGTCAGGTTTTAGCAAACCCTTTCTGCAGAGGGGAAGGGCGACGCTGTAATACTGCTATTCCTGGTTTGCTGGCAGCTGCCTGCTGGCTGCCCTGTTTCTTACCACCTGGGCACAGCCAGAGGTTTCTCCCATCCCATCCTATGTAATCTGGCTTCTCCCGTCCCATCCTAGGTAATTTGTCTCTAGGAGCCAAGGCTGCCCAAACCATGAGGCTAGAGCTGTGCCCTGCTAACTGAAACCTTAAACTAAGTTTTTTTCAGCTTAAAATACAGGTGGATCTCAGGAATGGCTGTGTTTGGCCAGTGTGGAGCATGCATGACTGCTTTGAAGAACAGTAGCTTTGGTCTTTGGCTGGGTGCACAGGCTCGGGAATTCCCTGTTGCGTTTTGACCCTTCTAATGAAATGAAAGAGGATTTGTGAGTGACAGACATGAAATTTCTATGACAGGCAGTGGTGCTGCCAATATCACAGCTTCTTGCAGAGCTCTGCTGAGCAGGGGCACTGCAGATCCTTCTTCCCAAATCTGATTGAAGGGCTTACCCGGGAAATGTCCTTTCCTCGGGACTGCTGTTGCTTTGCCTGCACCATTCATTGCTGCACGGGCTCTAGCGTGGCTGCTGGCAGGTTCGCGGGGACAAATCTGTATCATCAATCCCTTTTTTTTGCTGTAGTACACAGGTGGGTTAATATAACTCTGGGAATAGCCCCGGGTAACTGCTGCAGCCTCTCTAGTAAGCTTGTAGTAGTAGTAGGAGAGCTGCATGGACCAGCCTGGCATCAAGGGTGAGGCGGTGACTCCTGCCATGGGGACAGGCCACCTTTGGGCCTTGGTGGTGCCTGCCTCTTTAGTGAATGCCCCTTGCTGCAGAGGCAGGAGGATGAGGTCATCGCCAACCGATGATGAAAAGGGATCAACGGATTGGTGAAAATAAGGTATTTTGGATGCTTCCATGACTTGACCAGCAGGGACCGACTTTGGCTCCTGTCCTGGTGCCCAGTGAATGTCAGAAAAAATCTGTGCTGGGCACAGTGACTGCTGGATGGCTTGCTATGTGATCTGCTCAAAGCCTGTCCCTGCAAGCCCCTCCTAAATGTCGTGCCACAACTCCTACTCGGTGGCTACACAGAGAAACGAAGCTGCAGGGATGCCGTAAGAGGCTCTGCGTGGTTGCTCCTCTGCCCGCTCTGCATGATGGCTGGCCTGGTGATGCCATGACCTTTCAGCGGCAGCTCAGGCTGAAGTCCTGCCTGGCTTGGACTCAGCTCTTGCTAAGCCCGGTGCGGAGCCTTGTGTGCAGCACCAGCGCCAGATGAAAGAAAGGTCTGCAGTGAAGCACAGGGCTGACAAACCGGGGGCAGATGCTGACAAGAACCTTGTTTGCTTGCCCCAGCCTGGCCTCGGCATAGGCTTATGTTTGGTTTATGTTTCTCAGTGTGGTTTTGGGGGGCTTTTTTTCAAGCCACCCCCCAAACAAAGTCCTGTCTCAGGTTTGTCCGTAAGTTATTCCTTTTAGTGTGGAAGCTCCCAAAATCACACTGCAGGCTCTGGGTGAACGGCAGAGTAGCTGGTGGGATTTTTTTTTTTTCTTGTCAGTTGGCAGATCCAGGAGAAGTGTTAAGAACAAGTCTCAACGTGTAAATCATTTTTACTCATCTGATGAAAGCCTCTGGCACAGCAAGCTAACTTGGACTTGAGAGCTGCAGGAAAAGTTTGGCTGCCCATCTCTGTTTCTTAGCCCACGGATGTGGTTCAGAAGAGATTTTACTCGGGTGGTTTTATGAGGAAATGCAAGAATCATGGCTGGTGGCCTTACAACGCGGGAGTTGTTCAGGCTCCCCACCCGTGCTGTGTCCGCAGCTCTGTTCCCTGTCAGCCCGTCCGGGGCCCATTGCGTGCTGATGGTGGTCACCTAAGCTGGCCTCTGCTGTGGGGCATCTCCAGAGTGGGATGGGCTGTTGTGCTGCTTGCGCAGGCAGTTTTGAGTGATTAATTGAAGGGAGACTGAGGTGGCATGTCTGCCACCTTCTAGGAGACTGGGACCACCCAGGGGAGGGCGGGCTGGGGGCTCCTG